AAAAATGTTTTGTGAAACACTTGGGCACAAGAAAAGTCTGCCTTTAAAAAGATGTTGAGTCCAAATGATAGCAGGAATGGTGGAAAGGTTAACATGTATATTTGCAGTAGACGTTTGAACCACTAGATGTTGTTTTGATCATTGGAGCAAACGTATAACATTGAATCTCATGTGAAGGGCGAGAGACCTTCTGCTTGTTTTACTGACGAGAAGAAGTGAAAGTATCACAAGTATTTAGCCTGATATATCTGCCAGTATCTCTTCATTGGACTGATTTTTGTGTTGAAGATAATAAAGGGTGATGTGTAAATGGCAGTGAAAATTGTCAGCCACATTAACCTTTGTATGGTGTTCGGGTCTGTGGGACCCCGTTTTCATTTTTCATCAAAACAAAAATAATATGATTCATTATTTCTTCAAAGCCAGACTTTTTCGGCCTTGGCACATTTTCCGCAAAGAACATATATCAGACAAAACTTTCATCGACCGCACACCGTAATCCCCCCACATTTATATTACATACACAGTGTTCGGGTCCACTGGACCCGAGTTAATAAAAGTGTGTAAATTGTAGGTCCTGTGTACCTTCAGTCTGTCCTCAAGGAATGAGAGTCGTCCTGAACATGGCTCAGGGTCTCAGTGGACATCATGGACTACAATGCCACCAAAGGAGGGGTGGCCAACATGGACAAGCCGGTGTCTGCCTGCAGCTGCAAGAGGAGGACCCTGCGCTGGCCACTGGTGATTTTCTTTGACATACTGGACATCTCGGCGTGCGGCGCCTTTTGTCATCTGGATGGCGTTGAAGCCAGAGTGGAACAGAGGGAAGCTCCAGAGGACACGCATCAGGATCCCTCTCATTGTATCTGGGCATTAAAGGCAAATGAGCCCCAACATCGAACCCAACCCGCACAGACTCAGAGAAACTTTCCTCTGCCACACTCTGTGAAAGCTTACCGTCACAAATTAAACTCAATTTATACTGCTGCAAGTCTAGTTTCATTTTTTCTGTTTGCTGCCGAACCTGTTCTATCTGAATTTACCGCTCTGTTCCCACTTTCAACCGGATTCTCTCCTGCTCAAATTGCAACATCAGCAGCTCCTTCTGCTGCTCAAAAGTCAGCCCCGACGTGCGTGCAGACACAGATGTTGGCACAGCTGCCACGTCCGACAAACACTCCTCCGTCCTCAAAACGCCACTTTGCACTAAAGCGGACAGAACCACAGCTTTATTAGTCACATCGATTGTATAATGCTCTGCTGTCTGTAGCAGCTGTTCTTTAGCACACAGCTATTAATGAAGACCTCAGAGGGCGCATCCAAAAAACCCGACAAGCCACAGCAGACCTAACAGAACGCACCGTATTACCCCCCAAACGCACACACACGAAGGCAACTTGCCCCGCGGAGTATTCCCCCGAACTGCCTGGTCCAAAATCTCACTAAACTCACCTGGTCTTCATGCAGTTTGCGGTGGGTAATTACGCGCTGGAAACCAGCGGGTCTGAAGTCACCCGTAAGTCCACAGCGCAGGATCCCACGGACTCCCGAGACAACCGTCCATAGACAGCTGGCACGAACCACGTTGCCACAACAGTACAAACAAACCTGACGTAGGGGAGACGCCACTATAACCTGACAGGGAAACTCCAAACGCGTCAGGGCGGCAACGCTTCCATTCCCTTTGGACCACGCACAATCGACTTCGCGAAAAGAGAAAACACAAAAACTCCAAAAATGAATCCAAACGCTTCCACATATGCCAAACCTTCAAAATCCAGTACGACTCCCAAAACGTCCCGCAACACGGAGACAAACCGGCGATCACCACCAAACCAAACGCGCACCAACCGCTCAACAGCTGATCAACACGTAAACAAAGACACGTGTCGCACAAAATCTACACACCCGATCATCAAACAAATCACTGACCACGACTGGACGAGCCCCCATTTCTCACTGAAGATGATTACATCGTCGAAATACACAGTTTGTATTGTTAAACCTCTTTACACAGTGCAACTCCAATCCTGTCACGGCCTGGAGAGCCAGGTCGTGACAGCACAGAAATTACAAACACTTGGGTACAAGAAAAGTCTGCCTTTTAAAAGATTTTGAGTCCAAATGATAGCAGGAATAGTGGAAAGGTTAACATTTAAATTTGCAGTAGACTTTTGAACCACTAGGTGTTGTTTTGGTCATTGGAGCAAACGTTCCACCATCATCCCTGTCCCCAAGAAGCCCAGGATCACAGGACTCAATGTCAACAGGCCCGTCGCCCTGACCTCTGTAGTCATGAAGTCTTTTGAACGGCTAGTCCTGACCCACCTGAAGTCCCTCACCGACCCCCTCCTGGACCCCCTGCAGTTCGCCTACTGAGCCAACAGGTCTGTGGACGATGCTGTCAACATGGCCCTCCACTACATCCTCCAGCATCTGGACTCCCCAGGAACCAACGCCAGGATCCTGTTTGTGGACTTCAGCTCTGCTTTTAACACTATCATCCCGTCTCTGCTGCAGGACAAACTCTCCCAGCTGCACGTGCCCGACTCCACCTGCAAGTGGATCACAGACTTCCTGTCTGACAGGAAGCAGCACGTGAAGCTGGGGAAACATGTCTCAGCCTCCAGGACCATAAGTACCGGTTCCCCCCAAGGCTGCGTTCTTTCCCCTCTGCTCTTCTCCCTGTACACCAACAGCTGCACCTCCAGTCACCTACTTGTGCACTGCTGTCTTGTTGTCTATTGTTACACTGTCTACTGTCACGCACCAACCGTCAAGACAAATTCCTTGTATGTTTGACATATTTTGGCAATAAATGTTTCCTGATTCCTAATAACATTGAATCTCATGTGAAGGGCGAGAGAACCTTCTGCTTGTTTTACTAACAAGAAGTGAAAGTATCATAAGTATTTAGCCTGATTCTTCAAAAGTTGCTTCATTTTGACTGGTTTTCGTGTTGAAGATAATAAAGGTTGATGTGTAAATGGCAGTGAAAAATTCGTCAGCCACTTTAATTCATGCACAACTTACAGGCAGGGCTTGATGTGAATAATAATAGTTAATACATTTTTTTTTTCATTTTTAAAGTGGTCTCCATGAAAAATATGGTTTACCTTAAGTACTTATTGCTCTTCTTCTTCTTATAGGTGTGATCAGCCAGTGTTTTAGAAAACACCAGAGCCTTTGGTGTGCACTGTTGTGTGATTGTGTTGACTCCTTCATGCACATTTGACAATCACATTTCATGTCATGAACGTGAAAGTCCAGTTCACAGAACATAGAAGCACGATCCCCGTGCAATTAGATGGGATAAAGAGTGGAAATGCAACGCATGGAACTTTATATTTTGCCTCTTTTAACCCTTCAAACACATATAACAACAAGCAACACTGCTGTCCACTCCACTTGGACTCGGCATGAATCATCCCTGCGTGGTTTGTTGCTTGCCTGGACTCAAACATCATGCCGCTTGCTGTGGCGCTCGTCTCCCGGCAGCGTGACACGTCCCCGTCCATCGGCGCTGCCTCAGATATGCTGCTGCAGCAGGTTTACTGCGGACACGTTGCTGGATACAGACTGAGCCTCGAGGCTGCAGGATAATCACTGTGAATGACAACAAACACAAACACGGCCTGGCTGAGCCACTTGGAAACTCAATTCAGCACAAATAGATAAAAAGATCTGTTCACTGGACATTGTTCAGTCTTTACTGTGGGCTCCGCTCCTGCTGTGGAGAACCTTTCTGGGTTCACAGTTTAACGGCCGAGTGTCTGAAGAGGAGGATACAGTGAAGTATGCATTGCCCCCCCCACCTCCCCACAGCGGCCTCTGGAGCCGAGTACAGTGAACGCACCATTTAGAAACTGTTATATCCATCCACTGACTCTCATTCTTCAATAGTCATCAATAACAGCTTGGGATATTCAAAGTGAAGGAATTAGCATTTTATTATCTAAAAATGTGTCTCAAGTGTAAATAGTGTTATGCTACAATCAGAAATGTTTTCAACCTCCTTGTATTGTCATTAGTCTCCTGGTGGCATCACTTTAACCTTCTTTCAGATGGATCTCGAGAAAGGGAAAGAAATACACATGAAAACGTTTTTGACAACAATGCAGGGTTTCCAGAAAAAGACACGTACACATTTGTTATGAATGTAAATGTTGAGATCTCGATGATTAGTGAAAGGCTTAAGAAACAGATGTTTTTACGTATCACTGACATTGGCTGTTCTTCTTTCTTTGAGGACCCAAAGAGTCAAACTGCTTTATGAAAAATAATGCAAATTCAACTTTTAATTTGACTTTTCCAGCATTCTGTCACCCCTCATATGGTGTTACATGTGTTTGAGGTTAACGTGACCTCTCAAAAGAAAACACAATGCTGTTTATTTATTTTTCACATTTGCCTGTTAGAGCGTCTTTATCATCTACCTGGCATTCTTCAGTTGGAGTTGTGATTTGCTGTCTGCTTATGGATTATACAGGGATCAACCACTGTGCAGTGCTCTACCTCCACCGGTCCAGCCCTTATCAGGAGCACAGGTTTAAGAATAAACATATGTCCTTTTAACCCTGAAGGTGATCAGGACCAAAGGTTTTAATAAAATGCTCTTCTGTCAGTGTGTCCTGACACGAGGAGACACGTGTAGACGTGCTCAGTCTCCTCTCTCATCCTCTCAGCCTGCACACCGCTCAGGCCACAGACAGCCTCCATCCATATGAGCGCACCAAAGCCGGAAAAGCAAGCAGGGCCCTTCAAAATAAAACGCACGTATGGCGTGCAGACGGAGTTTGGAATTCAAGAAGTGCGTATAAATACTGGACGTTTAAACCTATTTTTTTGCGTTGCTGTTTCATCCGTCGCCGACGCCTACGTCACTTCCGGACATCTCCCCTCGCTCGCTTGTTTTTTTTCTTCAAAATCCTAATAGACCCATTTTATTTTGAAGGGTTATCCACTTCGTCGTTTGGGCTGTGCTTGACGCCGCGCGGAGGCAACCCATGATCGCAGACTCAACGCGCATCCTCACGCCACTGACCTGGGCTCAGCTGCGTCCTGCATGTGTGTGCATGTGCGCGCGTGTGTTGAGCGGGAGCGTGAGCGGTCCCCACGAACCAGCAGCGGGATGGAGGATCTCAAGGAGAACCTGGGAACTTTGGATTGACGCCCGGGGATAACGCGCCTGGTCGGCCCGAACGTCGTCGGGTCTCTCGTGGATTTATATATTTGGATGTTGTCTGTTTCCCCCTTCTCCCCTTTTCATCCAGGCGGTGGGAATTTACACTTGGCTTACAACTCGTATTTCTGGCGTGCGCAATGCCGTTCGCCAAGCGGATCGCGGAGCCGCAGCTCCTGTGCAGGCACCAGATCCCCAACGACGAGGGTCTGCTTTTCGAGGACCTGTGTGCCATCAGTAACGTGGTTCTGTCCCGGACCCTGCGACAGCTGTCCGACCTGGCCCGCCACGCCTGCTCCTTATTTCAGGAGCTGGAGAACGACATCATCAGCACCAACCAGCGGGTCTGGGTCCTCCAGAACAAAATAGGCCAGATACAGCAGACTGCCGGAGCCCTAGACCCTAAAAAGGAGGCAGTGCGTAAGTAGACCACCACAAGTGTAGCTATGTGCCCCCCCACCCCCCCACCCTTTCCCCCTCATAGCAAAAAGAAACCTGTCATGATTTACACCTGAGCGAGGTGTGATTTTTGTTATGTTCACCCTACATGTGTGCCATCACGCTCCGAAGGGCGCACGCCTCAAAATGATTTTTACCCAGCAGCAGCAGCAGCAGCAGCACGCGCGCCTCAGACGCAGCCGCGTCCCCCCCCCCCGCACCCCCTTCCTCCCACGCCCCTTCATTGAAATGTGTCACACGGTTGCGTTTGCACATTTCCCCATCCAGTACCCGTGCGTTTTCACAGCACGGGGAGTGTGGACCTGCTCGTTCATTTTAGGCGGTCCAGACTGTGGTACCGTCGACGGACATTGAGAGAGGGGTGTGCCTGTGTGCCGTGTGTGTGTGTGTGTGTCTGTTCACAAACCAGGCAGCGCGGGAGGGGCGTGTGGGTGCCCGGCATTGGCTCAGTATCGCGGTCTGGTTGCTGCAGGAGCGCACCTGAAGCATGTTGAAGCTGTGGGGGTTTTATTTTTTTTGGGGGGGGGGGGATAAAAAAAAAAGGTCACCTCGTTAATTCTGGGTGTGTATACGTGAAGCTCAGAGGCGAGGGTCTTTTAAACGGCGTGTGTGTGTGTTGGAGGGGGGGGGGGGTTCAGAGGCAACTCCCCGTGCGCCAAACCCACCCTTTCCACACGCAGCGGCACCAGCACAGCGCCTATAATGAATCCAGATGCGCATGTTGCAGAGTAGACGGAGTAGAGGACGGAATAAAAAAAAAATCGAAAACACTCCCCCCCCCCAAAAAAAACAAGCCTGACTGGCATCAATGACACGGTGCCTTCAACGAAACGGCACGTACTGTACAGCATATTATTTATGTCCTCTGCAGTCCTCTTAGTGCAAGGCGTCTGATGTTAGACGACCCGTTCTGGGATTTCAGTCCAAGTCTGTGCAGTGGGATTCATCCCTGTTGTAGGTTATCATAATCTGGGACAACCAAAGAGCATTTTGGGGCCTAAAGCTACTGACGGCTCACAAACTCCCTCTTTAGATTACCCCCAACCCCCAACCAACCAAACACACACACACACACACACACACACACACACACACACACACACACACACACACACACACACACACACACACACACACACACACACACACACACAGAGGAGCCAATGTGTCACCGAGGACGTATTACATAAAACAGTTATACTGTATTGTTTATTGTTTACTGTGGATCCAGAGGAACGGAGCTTCATGTGCCATCTTTTGGAATCAAATTGTGAGAGAAGGATTGTTGAGCATGGCTAAATGTGAATTTCTTGGTGGATGTTAGTGTGCAGAACAAAACCGTCTACACACAAAGAGCAGTGCACTCACATCTCATAATGCTTCACTCCTAAAACCTGCCAGCAAACCCAGAAACAAATATCTGTCGGTTACACTTTGGTTCAGAAAACCCGGGCATATTGAGTCGTCTTGTCGACTGTGACATACAAGATAAGTAGCACTTGGCACAAGCTTTTCCAAGAGTTTTGTGAGTCTCAAATCCTAGAATGCCATCGTGCAGCTCATGGATCATTTAAGAGTGAGCGCTTAGCTCCCAGCTCGGGACTTAAGACACCTCCAGGATCCGAGAGCTACATCGGCTTGCACTGCACATAAATGAGAAAAGTTCTGATACATGCAATTAAATGTGATATTTTGATATATCCAACTTATTCTTACTGAGGAACAGAATATCTGTGCACACAGGCTGATATTGAATGTCGGTGGTAACTTTTCACAGAGTCTATAAAGATGCTGAGGCTGATGGACCCCGATGGCGGCGGTCGGCATTGCTCTGATGGTGTCGAGACACGTCGTGTCCGTCATTCAGGGAAAACAATGTGCTTTGCTGGACATTTATCAACACTCAGTCAAACCGCCTGTTGTCGTCGTCGTCGTCGTCGTGTGATAACGGAGGTGAAAGCGGTCGGCCATCCGAGAACTGACAGCAACTCAACAACTGTTTTATGATTCCTTTTACATATTTAATGCAGGTTTATTCCACCATGTTTGCCTTGAATAAACCAAACACTAATATAAGTGCCAAACTATATTGCAGCGGTGCAGAAATATATTAAATAATCATTTATTTTAGGATACTTTTTTTGGTAAACCAAACAATGCAGTTGGAGCCTGTATCATCATCCAAAAATCTAAGGAAATGTATTGATATCTGCACGACTTTCTCCGTGGTTGATGGTCATTAATTATTTGGAGTGTTGGAGCAGAGGGAGGAGCGCCCGTTGTAGTTTGTTGTAGTCAGAGTCCCTGGTCCCTTAAAAGAGATTCAGTTCGAGGCGTTAGCCATCCAAGTGGGTTTGAGAAGAAAGATGTTAAAGGGACAGATTTGATGACCGAGGTCTCTCACACGCAATGAGGATTAAAAAAAACATTGTATTCTGTTGGAATTTGCACTAAATGACACTGAAGAGACATCAGCAGACAACCGACCACCGGCATGCACCGGCATATATGTATATATACACACACACACACACAGAAATACCGTTGGATCATGTGAATAATTCCAATATAATGGTTGAAGAGACAGCAGTCAAACACACAAACAACATCCATTTATTTGGATTACTCTATTGCGGTACAATAATGGATGTTTAGTTTCAGCCACAGCAAAATAAGCAAATATAAATCGTTAATAAAACAAAAAACTTCAGTCTATTTCACCCAAGCAGACTGATGTAGAGACTGGACAGATGTAAGCCAGCGATTTCCTAAAAACGAGACATCTTGGTGAAGACATTCATGTCCCACAGAGGATGAGTCATACACCGCTTCGACCTGCTGACCTTACACATTGAACAATCATCAGGTCACAAAATCTATTTGTGCCATTTGCTTCATTCACACAAATCATAGCGCTTCCCAGGGGTGTCACCTGTATTTGAGGCTTATTAGCAAATGTTAGCATGCAAACACTGAATTTGACATAGAGGACATGGTTGGAATACTCATCGTACAGCCTCATAGAGACAGCGTGTCCTCCTGTCTCGTGCCCTCTCATTGTTTGCTCTCAGCTGAGCTGAAGTTGTGCTCGTGTCATATTTGACAGACAGTGAGACCAAATGATCAAAAAACCTGTAGCAGAATGTTTGCATCTATTGAGCTGGTTGTGAACGAGCTATAGATCACTTGGTAATGAACCACAGAAAACACGTCAAATACACAAATATCAAATTTAGGCTTCATTTCCATAATTCCTGGTTTGACTACAAGGCGAGCTGGTGGTAACCAGACATTTACATAAAAACTACCACAGCAGAACATGTTTGGGTTCAGGAGCAGAATCAGAATCCGCTCATATAAACTCTCCTGGTACAAAACACACACACACACACACACACACACACCATGGGATTCTCGGGTGAAAATATTGGTCTGTAGCAAACATGCTGTGCTGCTCTGGTAACGCAGGTTTCTTCCTTGTGTGCCATTAAAGAAAATTTGACTTTGAGATTTCAGGGAGGATGGCCCGTGGCAGCAGGGGGACTGGTTCATCTCGCTAGTCTGCATAGTAACAGGAGAGCCAGTGAGACCGGCTCCAACCTTTCAGCCGAGTCAACGCGTTTCTGCTATTTCTTGGTGTAAATTCTGTTGCACACATCATATAATTGTTAAAAAGTGTTATGGGCTGAAATGAAAAGAGAGACGGGGAGGGAGAGGGAGGGGGAGAAAGAGCTAACAGCACAGTCTGAGTGAGTCAATGGGTTTTCCTGTCTGTCTGTAATTCCCAGACACTAAAAAGTAGAAATGGAGCCATATTTTCTAACTTTACATTGTGCATCTGGCCAACAGACTTAATCTGTTCAGTGTACATTTCTAAGTGTAATTCAGGGGTCTGATTTCATCCACACGAGGCAGGTTACGATGCACTCTGTCCAGGCACGTATTGTCTGTCTCACACTTCACAGACACACACACACGCACACACCTCACACTGAGAGCATCAATTCAGATGTTTTCCAAATCCAATATATGAGTATTAGTTGGCTGTCCCGTCTCTCTCACGGCATCTTCACTGTCTCATCTCCATCTGTCTTTTCCCTCCATCCTCGTATATCCGTGTCCATTCTCCTCCTCCCCTGCATCCATACCTCTTTCCCTCACTGCCCTACTTTCCCCATCATCAGCATGGAGAGACTTCTGCCTCTTGACAGCATATTTAATGTTTAATGCACTTTGATTTTCACCCAGACAAGCAGAAGAGGAGAGGAGAGAATAAAGGGGGAGATGGCAGAAAGGAAGCCACCGGTAGCTTGACGTGAGAGAGAGGGAGTGGGTCCGATTCCTTAATGGAACACAAAATATCACAAAAGATGTCAGAATATTGAGGCATATTAAAGAGCAGCACAACTTATAGTTTGGCCATGCCGACTTATTGACTTACACTCTCCCATATTGAGAGTGGACAATCATGCCAAACATGATTCTGTTTAACAAATTGACATATCGATTGTACCCATAGACTTAACATTGGGATAATGGGGCGAACAGTAAGTGTTATTGTTGCAATCCTGCAAGCCATTGGCCAATGTGGCAATGTGAATCCCACTGCTTTCCTTGCCGAGACCCTGTGTAGCTAGTTGAGGTTAGTCATTGACCTCGCATGATAAAGGTCCAGACAGCCCATTGGTCAGGGCAGAGGACCTGAACCAAGCAGGTTACTGGAACCCCACACAAGCGATGGAATGGGGCGCCGGTCTTGCCAAAAAATACCGCTACATTCATTATAACAAGTTGGTGCTCTCCTAATTCACCCATAGACAGATGTTGGGGCCTCCATCTAAACAGCAGGCTCATGTGATGTGCATATTCAAAGCCCACCCTTGAAGCTTTCACAATTAGAGCCATTAAGCCCAAAAGAGACCATTCATTCATCCGGGCAGTCAGCAAGTCAGTGCCACTAG